TATAAAACAATACCTCAAAGGGTTATTTATTTACTTTGCACAATATAAAGATAGTTTGAAGAAGAAAGCACAATGCAGTCTGATTTATTTCACCAAACTTCGACTTATACAAGACTTTCTTTTGGGGACAGAAAAAAGCACCATTTATTATTTATGAAACAAAAAGAGGGTCATGCGAGCTCTGTTAGCATTTCTTGTTTGAACTCCGCAGCAGGAGGACACGGCGTGCAATTATGTCCTGAACTACTGCAGTTCTAACATCAGGAACATCAGGAACATCAACACGATTATAGTCGATCTGAAGGTCGGCTTTACATGAGCCCAAAGCCAAACAAGAATTTAACTGTGCAGCGATATTCAATAAATACGACTAAACTACCACTGCAAAAAATGCTAAAATATGGCATAATAATTGCTAGCTAACCAAGTGTTTTTTTTTTATAATCTGAGTACATTCTGGCTGTCATAAAACCAGATTTGCCAATGGGACAAAGCCATTATAGTTATTTTACAAACTGTTGCTTTATCTTCTCATTCCATTATTTTCATCACTTTTTGCAGTGATTGTAGAAAACCATGATTAAACCATTACATTACTAAAAGGTGCAGTACATACGACTTACCTGTTGGGGCAGAGGCGGTCAATTTTTTGCTTTGTGAGGCCACATTGAAATATTGGTATATTGACAAAGGCCGGACTCGTTTTCATGTGTTACCATGGGTTACCAACAGGTTGCCATGTCTGAGTGGGGCGAGAAGACAAATGCCCCAAAATAATTGGAAAGTGCTTTGTGACTTTGGTCTGTGAAAGGTGCTGTATAAAACAAGATTACTTACTTAAAGATTACCATATTTTTCGGCCTATACGCAGTGGCTTTTTTTTTTCCTGCATTTTGGGCTTCTAGTCAGATGCTGCTTCTTTTTTTTCTTTTTTCTCTGGCACCAAAATAGTAAACCAACAGAATTTGGTAAAGGTGTTGTTTCAAATGTTCAAAACCAGGTGCTTTATCAGAGAGGTATGCAGGTAAAACTTAAAAAATTGAATATTGCTCAAAAGTTATTCTAACTAACTAACTTCTATGCTAACGTATTCATGAGACAATTATCAAGCACAATTCCATTCCACTTCCATAGTGCTTGTAACTAACTAACATGTCTGTGGGATTTATGACGAGAGCTGCTAAAGTAAACGATGATTCATAGTTGAGGGTCAAGGCCTGGGTTCAGGGTTGATGGGAAATGTGGGCGTAATGATGACAAACTCTACAAATCCCAAGATGGAGATGTCTAATCGGCCGTGTTTAACTGTAATTACAGAAAACTCGCCTAAATAATGTGACAGTGACATATTAGGGCTGTAGCTATATTAGCACAGGCTTCAATCCATATTAGGCATTTCGGTATCAACGCTGTAAGAAGTGATAAAAAATTGCTCAAATTTGAAAATAAAGTAACAGTTCTTTAAAAAATAAGCTAAAAGGCTTTGTCCCATTGGCAAATATTCAGTCAGAACATACTCAAATTAAGATTTTATGATTTCAATTGAGAAAGTTTGTAAAATGGTGATATTTATTTTAGATGAGACAGATTTGTGCTGCAAAAAATTAAAGACAAAAAGTACTCAAATTTTGCTGAATGTTTCTAAATTTGAGCACATTTTGACTGCCTTAAAACAAGATTTGCCAGTGGAACAAGAAAAAATATATTGTTTTAAAAAGATAAGACATTTCTCTCTTGGAATGAGAAAATAAAGCAATAGTTCTTGAGTCAAGTCAAAATTGCTTGTCTCATTGGCAAATCTCGTTTTAAGACAGTCAGAAAGAACTTAAATTAAGATAAAAACAACTCGATTCAAGAAATTATTATCTCATATTTGATCATTTTTTGGCTGCAACAGGGAGGGGAGGGGGGCGCAAACAAAGCGGGCGTGGTCAAAATGGTACGCATGTTGAGAAGCCAGATGGAGCAGACATGACCGCGCAGCTCTGATTAGAAAATGATTGGTGCAAGTAAGCTGCTACAGGGTTTGAGGTTTTTGGTTGAACAAAATTGGTGGAGGAATCATGGGTTTGGCAGATTTGATCCGAAAACGTTTTGCCAGTGTAAGATGGAGCACAGGGGGGAATTTCAGTCAGGTAGGAGTCTATGTCTGTAAACGCTGGTGTTGAAGTGTTGTGTACTTACTGTGGATGTTATGGGACGTGTAGGACATGACCTTTTCCAAACATGTAGAAAAATTCCTAAGTGCATTTTTGGTATGATGGTGCAATTAATATTCTCCAAATCATGAACAATGTGCTTTCACAATTAATCGCATTTTGATCCTTCTAACATTGTACACATTCTAAAGTACATGATGAAATTATACAGCGCGATATTTACTGTATATATCAAATTATGTATGTAGCCTGAAGTCACCATATTCCGCCTCTATTAAAAATAATAATAATTGAAATTAATCTCAAACATGCACTTCTGTTCCCCCAAATCTACCATTAGTTTTATTAATAACTGTTTTGATACATTTCAAGCCCATTCCTATAATACCAGTCTCAGGTGCCATTTTGTTGTCAATATTGAGCAGTTTTTTCAGCCAGTCTACAAATCTACAAAAAATGTGAAATGTGAAAACCTACACACACACACACACACACTCACACACCCCTGGGTTCGAATCCTGGTCGGAACAGGGTCTTTCTGAGAGGAGTTTGCATGTTGGTTTCCTCCAGGTGCTGCGGTTTCCCCTACCACAAAAAATATGCACAACAGGTCTGAGTGCAATAGTTTGACTTTGGTCAGTCAAAATGTGCTACATAAATAAAGATTGCTTACTTACCTACACACACACACACACACACACACACACGCACTCCTCTCTAATTGCTTTTCATTTCTTCTCTGCTTGTTTCAATGTAATGCAATCCGTCATTTCATTGCTTGATACTTCCAAATAAAACTGACAAAAAAAAGGGGGGGGGAGAAATTATGACTTCTTTCGGTTCGCTGGTAATGATGACTTCCAACGGTTGCGACCTCTCCGTTGCGACCTCTCCGTTGCCAGCAGACGGCTAAGGTGTGGTGTGAGCCGGAGCAGCGTAGCGCCCTGGGTCTTGTCTGCAGTCCGCGAGCATCTGGTTGCTGTCAGATTACACACGTCTCTGCTTCCACGTCTGGCTCAGGGCGATGGGATTAGCTTCATCTGTTTGTTACTGTTTAACCTTGTAGCACAATCACACTCCGCTCCTGAAAGCATCACTTATGTGTCCAGGCAGACTTCACGCACTGGACATATGTGCTTCTAAATACTGCCTCACAAAGCCTCTCGCCGATTCTTTGGCTCCAGATTATGTTTGTGAGCCTTAGATGTGAATAACTGAATGAACGGATTGATATCATTTGTGGTATTGAAGCATTTATGGCCATTCAACTTCACTTTCCCAAGGGTGAGATTTGGTCTGCACTTCCCTCCACTGAGTTATGTGCCCAGGCCTTTCTATGTGGAGTTTGCATGTTCTCCCTGTGTCTGTGTAGGTTTTCTCAGGGAGATCCGGTTTCCCCCACCACTAAAAACCTGTACAATAGGTCTGGCATGCACCTCCTGTGTGGAGTAAGAGACAAATGCCCACGACAATTGTAAAGGGCTTTGTAACTCTGGTCTGTGAAAGGCGCTACATAAATAAAGATTGCTTACTTTATTTTTGAAACATGAACATTTTAACATTCATGAAAAAAAATAAAAAATAAAGACAAACTTAAAAGATAGTTACTTTAATTGGTCTATGGACATTGGAACAAAATCCACTCACCTCAAATTAGTTATGAAAAAGTCAGAGTCAAAAATTGCTCAAAATTGCAAAAACGTTCTTAATTTGAGCACATGGAGACTGCTTTAAAACAAGATTTATTATTTATACAATTATTAACTATTTAAGGAACTCAAATGACATAAAACACATACATATAAATAAACAAAACAATTAACTCATTGACTGCCATTGACGTATTTGTCTGAGACCCTCTATTTGACTGGGGATTACAGGACAATAAAAATAGATAAAAACAAACTTATTTTTGTTGATGAAAGTAGACAATCCAGTCTTTCAGAATCCGGTTTGACATTTCACATAGTCTTAGGAGATAATATTCTGTGGGTCTTGAGAATCAGTGAAATAATCAAAAACGGCTGGCAGTCAATGAGTTAAACAAATAATAATATGGTGATGTTGATGATATGAGTAACAACTAATACTGATGAAAAATGTATATACAGGTATGTGTGTGTATATATGAAAGTATGTATATATCTATGTATGTAGAAAGACAACAAGAACTAAGTTAAGTTTTTGAGATCCTCCCTGTACCTCTTTGTTTTGTTTTGTCCTTCATGTGTTGCCCATGTGTGGGTGCAGTGATTTCTGTATCGTGCAGAATGTTTTTATTTGTTTTGTTTGGCTCAAAATAAAGTATTCAATCAATCAATCAAAAGATTTGCCAATGGGACAAGCAAAATTATCTTGTTGTAAAGAAATACAAGAAATGTGTTGGTTGGTGGTCAACAGTTCTTGAAATAAGACAAAATGGTTTTGTTTTAAGACGGTCAGAATGTCCTTAAAATAAGACTTTGCTAACATATACAGTAAATATCCGCAAGAACTAATTAGGTTTCCATGCTATTAGTGCAATCCACAAGTTTTGTTTTTCACCTGCCCTCTATCTGCACTCTATCTTACTTTGTTTTACTCCATTCTGGGAATTTTGTCCTGCGGTTTTGAACAGAATGTCAACAGACCAGTTTCATTAGTCCAAACAACCACTCATCGAGGTCCAACTCAAGTAATGAACCTAAAATCCCAATTGGAATCATTGACACATATTTATAGCACCGCTCTGTGAGTTTCTTATCCTGCTTTCTCCGACCATCCGCCAAGACTGCAGCTTGATGTAAAGTAATTTCACTCCTTGACAAATCTTTCTAACCTTGACCTTCTTGTGCTTTCCAGGGTTCTCAGAGATCGTGCAAGAGCGTGGAGATAAGACGCAAGCAGTCCCGGTGAGTCAACAAGCATCTATCAGCACCTCTGAAGAATTCCAACGCGTGAAACATTGCACGTTTGGAGAGCTGCCTTCTCCAACTCGCTCCTTTCAAATCCACTCCAAGCTTAACACGCAAAAGTGATTGTTTTTCAGGACATGCATACCTTTCTTGATGGCCGCTATCCATCGCGCCTTCGACCGTATTCCGGATCCGGCATCAGGGTTTGCGTAACGCTCGCAGGGGCCGTGTCAACAGTGTAAAGAATTGAGAATCTCTCGGCCTCCAAGAAACATAAGAGGCAGCCGGAGGAGTTTACGTTCGATCAAGTGCGCGTTGGATGAACTCTTCGAGAGGTCGTGGAACAGAGACCGCGAGTGCTTAAACAACCGCCGCCGAGAAGCATGTTACGAGCCGGGTCAGAGGAGGACAGGAAGGAACAAGTCAAAACTCTTTCATTGTGCTTGAGGTTGTTTATTGAATAGTGGTTGGGAACTGATCATGAGTTGGATGAGACGGTTGGTTGGTTGATACCTCACCAGATAAGACATTCTTGGTCAACGAAAAAGGCCCTGTGCAGCAATGAATCATGGAGAAGATAAGAACATAGCACTGTCAAAAGCTCTTTAACTGTTAGCATTTGTCTTATTGAAAACATGATTCATTATCCTGAATATAAGGAATTAACTGGCCAAAAGAGACAAATTCCGTCCTCCCAACGTCTGACCTCTGCTTCAAACCAAATCCTTTTACTGACTGAAGATTGGCTGCAGACCTCTTGATTAAAAACACTGAAGACTGACCATGGCCCAGTTAAAAGTGAAGTAAATAGAGTCAGACAAAGACATTTCCATGAAAAGATGAAAGCATAAATAATCACATAGTACATTCATTTGAGAACTGTTTTTTTCCTGGACATGAACATTTTCAGGAAGACAAGTTCCCCAGTTAGTAGTTTCACGAATCACAAATCTTCCTCATGGGTAGTCCTGACTCTGGGACCAATAGTAGGGCAGTCTCTGTACCGTACCCCTCAGACCTGAGACCAGGACTAATGTGATGGTACTTACTGGTTCTAGGACCGGAGCTGCTGCAATTTGAAGCTACTGCAACTGTTCCACTTTTTCATTCGGAGATCTCGGTGAACAGGCTGCTACAGTAGTCTACTCCAGTGCTGCTCAAAGTGGGGGTCGCGGGACACTAGCTTGGGGTCATGATGTAATTTTCTACAGTATATTTTAGATCAAATTGCACAATAACTCAAATAGTCACCATTCAAATTAATTCAGCATATTTTGACACTTAGTTTTATGACATACCCAGTCTGAACAGTTTGGGAACCCTTGGTCTGACCTGCGGGAGAAAAGTTTATTGAGTTCAATCAGAGCAACAGCAAACCAGCAACGCACCAAAGCCCGAGCCAAGACCGTACACACCTCACCCCAACGGTGACAGGCCGAGATCATCTGACTTAGCTTATTGACTGCCAGCCGTTTTTGATGATTTCACTGATTCTCAAGACCCACAGAATGTCATTTCCTTAGACCATGTGAAATATGAAACCCGATTGTGAAAGACTGGATTGTCTACTTTGATCAGCAAAACTAAGTTTGTTTCTAGCTTTTTTTATCGTCTTGTAATCCCCAGTAGAATAGAGGGTCTCAGACAAATACGTCAATGGCAGTTAATGAGTTAATGAATTTAACCAAGTATTTTCACTGGGTCAAATTGATAGTGTTAGTGTTTATATTCAAGCTATTTCCATACACACAAATCATTTTCATTCATGGAAGTGTAGTGGAAGTAAATAGAACTGTGCGGGATAAGGTTTTAGGGAAGAACACTGGAGGCGTCTCTTTTTTTCTAACGACCAAAGACAATGATAACAGTCATGTCCGAATTTAGCTGGAGAAAGTAGTTGTGCAATTTTAAGGTTAAGGTTAGGGTTGGAGCAACTTTTGATTGTTTTTGTTTTCAAGATGGTTTGCTAATAAAAAATATTAAACTATGTAACACTTTTTTTGTTGAATGTGTGTGTGTGTGCTGCAGGAGTCAGAGCGTGGTGCCGGCCATGGAGGAGCACTATGAGGTGGACCTGGTCTACATCACAGAGAGGATCATCTCCCTGTCCTTTCCCGCCTCCGCAGACGAACGCTCCTACACCAACCATCTAAAAGAGGTGGCCAGCATGCTGAGGTCCAAGCACGGGGAGCACTACCTGGTACTTACTTAATACTCCATCAAAGTCGTGTTGGAGTTATAACAAAAAACAATATGACATCACAATATGGCTATGTGTGCATTCTGGCCATCTCTGTCTTCATTAGTCATGTGTATTTCACTTCAATTCAATTAAATTATAGCCCTAAATTACAACAGTAGTTCAATCAGTTCAAAGACTAGAAATGCAATGATAAAAAAAACACACAATTGGTCCTTAAAGGCAGATGAGCACTGTCCATAAATGTTGTTGAATGTCTAAAGCAACACAAAAATCCAACTCACTTTTTGAATGCAGGTACTGAACCTAAGCGAGAGAAGAAACGACCTGATCAAGTTAAATCACAAGGTACGAACCCTCAAGATCACAGATTTCACGTTTTCGAAAGTCGTACCAAGAACAAGAGGAGGGGAGAATATTTACAATTGCTGTTTTTGTTGTGCAGGTCCTGGAGTTCGGCTGGCCAGACCACCACGCCCCAGCGCTGGACAAGATCTGCAGCATGTGCAAGGCAATAGACATGTGGCTCAATGGAGACTCACACAACGTGGTGGTCCTGCACAACAAGGTGAAAACACACACACGCACACACACTTAAACACAATTCTACAGTGTTGATGATTTATGGCACACAGCTGAAAATGAACTGTAAGCTATAATCATCAAAATTATCAAATCATCAAAAAAGACTTGAAAATTGTCACTTTGCATGTGATAAGTCTCGATCATAAATTGATTTAACATTTTAAGGAATTACAAGAATATATGAAAATCTGAAAGATATTATAATTATTTTTGTTTTATCTGCAAGGTGACTGCTTACGCCAGGGGTGTCAGACCGGTCCTTAGAGGAATAGGCCCCCGTTTTTACATACTGACATATGTTCTTACCTTAGACTAGTTGATATGTACTGTACCTGTCTGGTCTTTGTCCGTGCGCTCTGTCATGCAAACGGAGCACAAATGCAGCCTCTTCCACAGACTGTATAGTACCAAATCAGCTCCCGTTAGAAGCTACCAAACTCTTCCACGTGTTCCCCATTTAAATACAGTTACGTGACGTGTTACACTACAAAGTATAGTAACACAGAAATGTAACATGTCGATTTTCTCAGTGGATAAAAAGAGGTGCTATATTGTGAGGCGTAATAATACGAGGAGCGCTACGTCTGCGCACTAACTCCTAATGACTTCTCTCCCGCTCACTTTCGTCAATAGAAGCAGCGTGACTTGTAGGAGGCCTCTTTCTTTAAAGGGTAGAGTGGGGGTGGCTTAATGGTGCTTTCAGACCGAAAACGCTGAAACGCAGCAGCCCAGCTCACCAGACGCGCATTCTCTAGTTTTCAGACGCAGAGGCTTGCACACTGCCAAACGACGCACGAACACAAGCACGCCCACCTCACTACACTGATACTGAAAAAACTTACCAGGGAGGTTGAGCTGCTGCGCAATGGCCTTCCATGCCGAATCTTTCTTTGCTCTGTCGCTATATTCCGGAATGCAGACTTTCCACAACTCTGGAAAGTTTGTAACAGCGACAATGAGACTATCCACAGCTTGATCCTCCATGTTTAAATGACCGGTTCCTGGCTCTCAATGGGGAAAACATACGCCGTGTAGTGGCGTGATTACGTCAGTGGTGTGCGTGCTCTCTGATTGGTCGCTGCACGAACGTCTCGAGGAAAAGTTGAGCGGAATCCATCTCCTGTGGGCGTTCATTTTCCGCTCCTTCTCCTCCCCTTTGACTTTCCCGCCAAGTCCGTGCGTTTCTACTGGGCGGTCCGTGCGCGTGTGCCGAGAGGTCCGTGCAATGCGACGCTGAAACGCGCCACACCATTGACTTTGCATTGAACGCAGACGCAACGACTGTCCCGGTCTGAAAGCACCATTAGTTTTAACCAAGCGCAGTAATAATAATAATAATAATAATAATAATAATAATAGTTGGAAGAATACCAACAAAAACTTGCATCCGCCCACTTGCACTCTTTAAAAAAATACTTACATTTAATGCTGAATTTGCAGGATAAGGGTTAGTAAATAATTCAATGTATTGTTTTTAGATAATTATTTTAACCTTACTCATTTGAGATTTCTTGGAACATAAACAAAATTCTGGCACAAACAAGTTAGTCCAGGGGTTTCAAACTGCTTCCAAAAATGATTGGTTTGGCTGCAAGACTTCATTCCAACCAAGCAGGAGCAGAACAGACTCCACCCATTTCCTCAGGTCTTCAGGCTAATACTGGACTCGCTGTTTCTCACTTCAGCTCATGTTTTGTCAGTAATACCTTTTGGCTCTAGAGTGAAAGTGTCTGACAGAATGTGCTTTTCATTTGTGTTCAGAATGTTTCAATGAGCTTGCCTCTCAATCTTGTGTCCAGTCTTTGAACAGTATTTCTAAAAACACAAATGCCCGACACATAAATAATCAAAGTGCGGTTCGCTTCAAAGATTCTAACCGATTCCTTCTTTTCTCTCTTTCCTCGTGCTTCAGGGGAACAGAGGTCGGACAGGAGTGGTGGTCGCAGCTTACATGCACTACAGCAACATCACCGCCAGGTAAAAGTCAGACTGTACAACGAACATTGAGGACTAATCAACACTGTCGACCTGACCTCACATGGAACCACACGTGTCCACTGCCACTTTACCGAGTCACTTTATCCCAGGCCCTATACATACAACTATATAAGATAAGCTAGACTTTATTGATCTCACACTGGAGAAATTTACGTCACATTTGGCATGGATAGAATCACTCAGATTTTGCAAAAGACAGAAGTAAAATATGGTCCGTGCAGGATATAATTATGTACAATAAAAAAAATGGCAATAAAAGAAAGAGTGGCAATAGCAGCGCAGGGTTTTTTTCAGTCCTAGTGCATTAGTGACTTAAAGTGACTTATTGTACAGTCTGACAGCAGTGGGGATAACTGTTTATTCTTGCACTAGAATATAGCATTTTATAATTGCTTCTTTATTATGCTAAAGTCAGTGGTTTTTGTACTTTTTTGTATCTAGCTAAAGTTGGAGATTTTAGACTTGTTTCCTTATTATGCCAAAGATATTTTGTACTGATTGATATTTTATTAGTATAGAGTTATTATTCATTCATCATCCCCATGTCCCCATTCATTCATTTTTGGTAAGAAATTACAAAACAAAACAGGAAATAAACCTGAACCATGACCATGACAGACGTAGACTTTGGAAATAAGATTTTGTAGAATAGATATGATGAGATAAGAGAACCTTGATTCGTCCTACAGTGGGGAAATTTCAATATTGCAGCGCACATACAGGACAGGAGTAAAGCTCACAAATACCAAATCTAAGTAGCTGCTATGTTTCTTGGCTAGCTGTAAATGCTTCAATAATGAATGTATGTCTTGTTGAAATTCCAAAGTACAAACCGTTTAGACAAAAAACATAGCAAAATGACATAACTGTTAGCTAACAAATGATCAGATGATTTTTAGCATTGGAATGTACAGTTACTGCCTTTTTTAAGACTCCATAGAGCAGTTTATTTATTAATTAGCAAGCAAGAATATTTAAACAATCCCAACTTTCTGTGTGTACTTCCTGTGTGTACTTCCTGTGGGTTCCTCTGGGTGCTCCGGTTTCCCTTACCACTAAAACCATGCACTTATAAATCTGAATGCAATGAGTGAGTGAATGGGCGGTGATGGTCAGGGGCCTCCATGCACCAGGGGTCAGGCGTCTCGCTTCTGTCATCACCGTGTGTGAAGTGAATGGAAATGACTGGTGTCAACAACGATTATAAACACGTTGCTTCGTGTGACCTTGGTCTGCGAATTGCGGTATATACAGTAAGTAACGATATGTGAACGTCAGGCCCTCCTCATTTGGACAGAAGTGCTTCTTTGTGAAAAAATACAGCAGGGACCTCTGGAACTCCTCACCTCCTTTATGTGAGGGAGTGGAGCTCTCTACGACAGTTTGAATTCAGCCTAAAGACAAGGCTCAAGACATTGTACTTTCTTTACAATAAGGAGACATCTGTTTACTGCAGGGGTGTCATAATTATTTTGGGTGAGGGCCGAATAAAACATGATCGGGCTGGTCAAAGGCCAAAAGAATAAGTTGGTTTCATTTATTAAACTTTTTTATACTGTGAAGGTGTCTATATAAATGACTTGTTTCACATTAGTTAGATTGGATATTCTTTTCTGATTAGAATTAGTTCAAAACTGGACCAAATATTGAAGGTTAATAGGAAGATTTTATACTTCCGTGTGGATCATCAAGACTATTGCTCCTCCCAATTGTCAATCATTCTAGTGATACGTGCTCGTCAAATAAGACCAGATAGTTTTGTTCAAAATGCAGTTCTTTCCTTTGCAAATTGGGAAATCCTCCTTCATAATTTGAATAAGAAATGTAATTGAAGACTTAAAAACATGTAAAAAACATAACATAACAATACTCACTTCTAATTACATGTTGGCTTGACGTTTCTTATGGAATTAAATTTTATGGTTGTTCACTTGAGAAAATTAGTAATGGATAACATGCCATTGTCACCTATCATCATTAATGCTGCTATTTAATATAATAATTTAAAATCTTCTCAGGGGCCACTGGAAATGGTCTCGTGGGCCGGATCTGGCCCCCAGGCCTTGACTTTGACACCTATGGTATACTGTAAAACCACATATAGGCCGCACTTGAATTTAAGCCACAGGTTTTCATGTTGTAATGTAACAGATACATTACTTTTTATCTGGTCACATGATTTCATGACGAGGTGCCCTATAGCTTATAGAACTTGATGACAAAAAGACCACTATAAAAAAACACATATAGGTTGCATCACTATATAACCTGCAGGGCGCCAATAACTAGAAAAAAGTAGTTATAGTCCAGACTTTACAGTAATAGATTGTATTTTTCTAAATATTGTGTATTTTTGCGGTAAAGGGTGTTAAGTTTTAGCTGTATTATGCTTTTTGGGCCAATTTATGTATTCATTATTTTCACACTGTAAATCTGCTGTCAGTCTGCCTCTGCCCAGGGACTATACGGATGACAATATATTTTAAAAGTATTGTGCAATGTCCCTGTCAACTAAATAAATACATAAATGTAAACACAAAGGAGAAGCCATGACCCCATAATGTTGTTGTTAGGCCTTTTTTAACGTGGCATATCATGTTCGGTTTTGCAGTGCTGACCAGGCGTTGGACAGGTTCGCCATGAGACGGTTCTACGAAGACAAAGCACTTCCTGTGGGGCAGCCATCGCAAATACGGTGAGAACGGAATTCAACAAAAGCAAAACACACTTTTTTACTTCTACCGGTAATAGTTGGAGTATGATGTATTGATTTTTGGTTTGAAAGTTTAATGAGCTCCCAAACAAAATATTGAACCACATTATCTGCACTCTATTCTATCCTTATATGCACACACTGTTAAAATGTGTTGTTGTTGGCCACAGAAGAAAAGCCAAAACTCCAATTGCTGAACCAAAGCAAGAGTAAGGTCTGTTTTTTTTCTCTCTCTAATTGTGTTTAATTGTGTGAGAAAGCGTCCCGCAAGCGGCTCTCTGGGGACTCCATCACATTCTTGGACTTTTTTCCCCCCGTTTCTCTCCATACAGCGCTCAGCTAATGTCAGCAGCAGCATTCCGAAGCAGCGCTGGTCAAAGTCAGGGAGCGCGGGGCTGGAAGTATTTAAACAATGTTGTGTTTGGAATGCGGATCACTGAAGGGGTCCGCGCTCATAAATCCACCACAATGTGTTTACGATGCGACCCCCTTTTGTGCATGACGGTGGCTGTTAAGTGGTCCATACATGGTGCTGTGTTACCTGGAGAGACCCCAGGAGGAGGTTAGCGAAACAAATGTGTTATAGTGGCCTTTCGACAGCACCGCGGGGAAGTTCAAATGTATTTCATGTTTTAAAGATTGAATAATGAGACCAGCTGCAAAAAGTGATGAAAAATAAGTCAGAGATTGCTCACATTTGGCTAAATGTATCTTAATTTGAGCACAAATGTGCAGAACAGTGGCTGAGTGGATAAAAAACCCGGTCGGAACAGGGCCTTTCTGAGTGGAGTTTGCATGTTCTCCTCGTGCCTGCGTAGGTTTCCCCTACCACTAAAAACATGCACAATAGGTAAAATCCTAAAAAAAGCTTGTCCGTCAGAATGTACTTAAATTAATTTTAAGAAAAAATCAATTCAATTCAATTCAATTATTACCATATATTTTATCATTTTTTGCAGTGCAAATTACTGTTCATGTTAAACTTGAGCACATTCTGACTATCTTAAAACAAGATTTTCCAATGGGACAAAGCCATTTATTGTTATTTCAAGGACTGTTGTTGTATTTTGTCATTCCTTGTATCTTTTTAAAATAAGATAGTTTTGCTTTGTCCCAAAAGCAAACCTTGTTTTAAGGCAGTCAGAATGTGCTAAAATTAAGATATATTTTTGACTTAGGAAGCAGTAGATAATAATGTGACCTATGTCCTCACAGAAGAGGTTAAAATGTAAGAATCAATAATGACTTCATCCTTGAGCGTGCTGATTCAGACTGCCCACTGCAGGCTGAAACCCGAGCAGCACGTCAGCGCCTTTTTCACTGGACAAGCCAAATTGGAATGCACAAATTAACAGTATTTCTTTTCTTGTGTTTTCTTCTGTGCCTCTCATAGACTGTATATATTAACGGACGTAGTCACGCCTATCTCCGCCGTTCTAACTAATGGGCCAAAAATTGGCCTTTCATGGAGTGATTCAAAATGGCCGCGGGGGCTGGAAAATGTGAAGAAACTCATCTGCGCATGCGTCAGCTGCACGAGCCCCATTCATTTAAACGAGTGACTTCAAAAATTCACAGCGACTAAACTAGAGTGGTCCAAAAAAATTCACTCCCCTCAGCATTGACACACATGTGGAACGGAGCTTTGGGCCAAGAGCCAACTTTTGGACCATCCTGTAAAGACGTTTTTGAGAGGTCAGAAGATGCTATATGTTAGCATTGGCTAATTCTTATTCCGGGTCCACCCCCATTGGCCCGGGGTGGTATTGAAAGCTTTTCAGCGCACGTCATTTTGGCTCACCTTTTGACTCAATACATCTACTTTAAGCTTGGAACTGAAATATACCTCTTTGGGGAATCTCACTTGGTATTACTTTGCCAAAAATTATATAGCATGAGGTAATATTAGCTTGAATTGAGCGTTTTTTATTACTTATAAAGTACATTCTGACTTTCATAAAAGAGGATTTGCCAATAGAAGGGGAATTTTGTCTTCTTTCAAAAATTGTTGGGTTTTTTTCTCATTCCAAGAGAGACATTTCTTGTATCTTTTTAAAACAAGATAATATTGTTTGTATCATTAGCAAATTTTGTTGTAAGTCAGTCATAATGTGCTGAAATTCCGACGGATTTTGCAGAATTGGATCCATTTTTTGACTTGTTTTTCATCACTTTTTGCAGTGTCGACACATTTACCACCAAACTAAATTCCAACCATATCATAAAGACCTATGATAATAAATAAAAAAACGTAAAAACAAATTCTCTGTATCCTACAACATAGAAAATCCCAAAAAGACAAAAAAAATACATTGCTATCTTCAAGGAGTGAATGTTGAAAGCAATCGTTGAAAGCATCTACATTCATAGGGCGATATAAAACCATTCTGGAGCCATCAGACAGGCTTCTTATTGCTTCATGAGAGGCCCTTACAGGACGGTGACAGTTATATGCGGGATATATGGACTGCCCGCCGCCGCATCGTCTCATAGCCATTCTAACGGCCGTCTCCATCACTCCGGCTGTCGTCTGTAATGTCCTTGCCCTGACGTAGTGCGAGTGCGGCTCCACCTGTACGCCGTAACGTCACCGGCAAGTTCACAAAAGTCTAATTGAATTTCAGACAGGCTCCGGCAGCTGCAAGGTGACACCGCTCCGGCCCCTTATTATGGTGATTAGGCGCCCTGGGTCGGTCCCGTACACAGCCTCCTGGTGTAAGTCAGGTCTTATGAGCGCCCTGGGAGGTGGCCCCCGCCGGATTCAACACTTAGCCCTTAGCTCATGCAAAGGTGATAGAGTAACGAACTGGATTGAACTGAATGGACCAAAGTGTGAGCGGTTGTCATTAGAATATTGTAATACACTGCAAAAAATGATATATAGTAATAGTTGGTTGAATCGAGTGGTTTTTAATTTTTGATTTTTATTTAATTTAAGTACATTTTGACTGTCTTAAAACAAGATTTGCCAATAAAACAAAGCCATTTATTTTGATTTTTTTTAAAAATGCTTTATTTTTTCATTCTAAGGGAGACATTTCTTGTATCTTTTTTAAAACATTATAATTTTGCTTTGTCCCATGGGAAAAAGGCAGACAAAAGGTATTGAAATTTAGATTATTTTATTTTTTCAAATTTCAATTTTTGTCTTATTTTTTTTATTTTTGCAGTGCAGATAGATACTGTAGCTATAAACTTTATGGATCCCCGTTGGAGAAATTCAGATCTCCAGTAGCAGCAGAAACACATCCATCCATACAAACAAAACGTAAACCATAATTCTAAAAGCAGCTAACAACAGTAACAAGGTCTCAGCAGCAGAGGTGGAGCATCTACTTGGTTCGGACCATTTTCTCTGCTCTGGTTCAGAGTGAAATTCTGCATGCCTTATTAACATTAGCATTCAAATTAGCGTTCCTTCAGTGGATGTACGCTTGATCTGCTTGGTTCGGACCGTGAATCCTCCCTGCTCTGGGCTGGATCCGTGTAAAAACCATGGACACTGCAGAAACATTTACAGGTACAGAAGAGCAAGAAAAATTACAGTTTAAAGCACAAAACAAAAACCGTTTCAGAGCGACTTAGGACTTGCTGCCGTTTCCAGTTCATTCAAAAGCAAATGTAATAGTCCCATGGTGAGTGTGTGGAACTCAAGAATAATATCTGTTTTGGGCCACGGTGGAAAACAGTGGATACATACTTTCACACATACACATATTGTTGTAACTATTGTTGTAACTGACTGATTGTTGTGCGTCTCGTGCAGATACGTGCGGTACTTCAACGGCCTGCTCTCGGGACACATCAAAATCAACAACAAGCCCCTGTTCCTGCATCACGTCATCATGCACGGCATCCCCAACTTCGAAGCCAAAGGAGGTCAGTGCGTTTCAGAGCTGAGGCGCCCCCTTTGGACAGTACGACACACTTACAATCCTAGTTCAAGTTTAGAGATTTTGGCCCATTCCTCCTTAAAAAATGTTTTCAAGTCTTGGAGATTTGGTTTAGATCAGAAGGCTGTACGTGTTACATGTTAGTGTTTGGAATCTCCGGCCCCTTCAAGATATGATACGATATGTGACACACGGCTTACACGTCACTTAATATCAGAATACAGTACATAATAATTAATAAATAATAAAACAAACCTGAGACGTATTGGGATATTGTTGTATTGTTCATATGTATGTATAGCTTATTTGCATATTTTCTGTTAATTCACTTCTAACAATCTCACGGCTTTTGGGTTTAATTCTTAGAGTAAAATAAATGATGTGGGAGTTTTCTTGAGAGATTAATCTTTAAAATAAGGTATAACATGCCATGGTCGCTCATACTAAAGCACTAATTATACACTGCAAAAAATGATTAAATATGAGGTAATAATGGTTTGAATCGAGTGGATTTTATCTTAATTTGAGCAGATTCTGCCTTAAAACAAGATTTGCCAATGGGAAAATCCATTTAGTCTTATTTAAAGAACTGTTTCTTTATTTTCCAAGGCAGTCAGAATGTGCTTAAATTAAGATACATTTTGCCAAATTTTAACAATACTCATACAAAAAACGTATTTTGACTTTTGTATTGAGTGTTAACTTCTATTCATGTTGACATATGGATCCTTACAGTGGCGGCTGGTGGAATTTTCTACTGGGGGGGCTATGAATATGATGACTAGATATATACCAGCAGGGTAGGGATGCTTTCTGATCCCTACCCTGTAGCTTTCATCCAGCTGGGATGAAATATTTATCTTCCCAAACATAGCTAATTTGAGGGCATTTTGCATGTGGATACCAGTCTGCTCATGCTTCTTTGCCTTTTCTAAAAAGTGCTTCAGATCAGTCATACCTGTCTTGATCCATGCTGGGTCAGATCCTGATGTTTGAAACAAGAGGCATGGAAAGCAAAATAAAGCATTAGCCTCGCTACATGCTGCTAGCCAAGATTTGGCGCTGAACCAGGTCCTGGACTGCTGACTAATGGTAATATTTGGCTGATCAGGTCCAAGCTCTTTAACCTCAACCTTCTCCTGGTATGATCTTCTCTCAAACGGTATTGTTTTGAGTGATCTAACTGAATTATTCTTTTTCTCGTTCTCCATTTTGCGTCTCTTTACGTTCGTCTCAAACTCCCACAGCTTGACCTGTCAATCACTGTAAACGGACGTCACAGACAGTGACAGTACAGGTCGCGGGCGATCCCGCCCCCTCAGGGCGCACTTCTCCTGCGCCCCCAAATTGTCTTATCTCTTGCATTGAAGAGGAGCTACTGCGCATGTACAACTTTTAACGAGAGTCCATAGACGGCTCAGGGCGCAATCTTTTGCGCCCTGAGGCGGAAATACGTCCTCAGTCCGACACAGACAACGCTGATGAGCTTAATCAATCCAACTCAGCATAAACTATAAAGTATTTCTTCCACATCTGAAATAAAACACACATAAATTTCGAAATATTTTAATGTTTTTATTTTTTTTAACGTTTTATTCAAGGTAACATGGCAAGTTGTGAGCGGTGGGGCGGCGCCCTAGCGCCCTCTATTGGCCGGCCGCCACTGGATCCTTATTAATGTAAATACCATATAGATGATTGATCATGAGACGAAGTGTGTGTTTCTTTCTTTCACAGGCTGCCGTCCCTTCCTCAAGATCTACCAGGCCATGCAACCAGTTTACACTTCCGGAATATAGTACGCTTTTTTTTAACTTTTCACTGCTTTTCAGCACTTTTAAGCAATATGGAGCTCCCATTGACTGTTGTATGAAAACATTACCAGGTGTTTTTAGCCGGCCGCTCTGTACAAATAGACAATGTCAGACATCACCGTCGAAACAAAAAAAACGTATTCAGTAAAATGACACAAATACACACAAATAACGATGTATTTGACAAAAAAAAGTCTGCTGTTCAAGGAAAGTGTCAGCGGTGAAGTGATGGAAGAACCCAAAATTCAAGAAAGTAAAAAAAAAATTATGTAATGAACACAAAAGTCAAGGGCAGGAACATAAAAAAAACAACAAAACCAGGAACAAAGACAAAGACAATGGACCAGCATCAAGGGGAGGGAAGCATAGGTACATACTGTATAGACACAGAGGGACAAGGGGAGAGGAGCACAGGTACATATAGACACAGAGAGAACAATGGGAGAGGAGCACAGGTACAGACACAGAGAGAACAAGGGGAGAGGAGCACAGGTACATACAGACACAGAGAGAACAAGGGGAGAGGAGCATAGGTACATATAGACACAGAGAGACAAAGGGGGAGAAGAGCACAGGTACATACAGACACAGAGAGAACAAGGGGAGAGGAGCACAGGTACATACAGACACAGAGAGAACAAGGGGAGAGGAGCACAGGTACATACAGACACAGAGAGAACAAGGGGAGAGGAGCACAGGTACATACAGACACAGAGAGAACAAGGGGAGAGGAGCACAGGTACATACAGACACAGAGAGAACAAGGGGAGAGGAGCATAGGTATATATAGACACAGAAAGAACAAGGAGAGATGATGAGCACAGGTACATACAGACACAGAGAACAAGGGGAGAGGAGCATAGGTATATATAGACACAGAGAGAACAAGGAGAGATGATGAGCACAGGTACATACAGACACAGAGACACAGAAGGGTGGGGCAGACAATCCACAAAATTCACAAAAATACACAAAATCCACACCTCAAATATCAAACTTTCAAAACCATGTGGAAAACTCACGGTTCGATCAGGAATGTAAAACTCTCCGCAGCTCACAGGTACACCCTTTTAATAAAAATTCATCTAAGTTGATTGTATATATTTGCTGTTCCCTTGTTTCCTCAGTAACGTCCAGGGAGACAGCAACACGAGCATCTGCATCACCATCGAGCCGGGGCTGCTTTTGAAAGGGGACATCTTGGTAAGGGCCCTTTCCTCCTCGTACTGTAAAAATATATCATAAAAACAAACACACTTTTTCTTTTCCACCAAAACGCTTCTGTCTCGCGCAGTTGAAATGCTACCACAAGCGCTTCCGCAACCCCACCAGAGACGTGGTGTTCCGGGTTCAGTTCCACACGTGTGCCATCCACGACCTGGGAGTGGTGTTCGGGAAGAGCGAGCTGGACGACACCTTCAAAGGTACTCCTCCAAAACAGTCGAAGCTAAAACTGTAACTGATTTTTATTATTTTTATTTTTTTTTATAATTATCTTATTTAAAATACTGTACTGTAAATACTGAGTGTAACTGGAATACTTTTGAAATCACCCGTTGAATAGGTGTCAATTGGAAATATTACAGAACGCCATTGTTTACACCTGAAAAAGGGTATTTCCTTCTTAAAGAATACATATTTTTTACCATGTGACCCTGTAGTATAATCTATGTGAAGTATTTTTCTTGATAAATATATTTAAAACAGTCCCACCCCTTGGAATAAGCATCACAAGTTAGATTTACTGTAGGAGAATAAATTGACAAATTGTGAGGCGGTTCTGAAGTCTACAATAATTGGAATTAATTGCGTCCAATCAGGAACTGGGGGCGGGTCTTACTGCCTCTTGTGTTAAAAAATCTCTCTCCGTATAAAAAAATAAACAAAGAAATGTATGTATGTATGCAAATAAGTTTATTGTTCCTCAGAGAAATCCTGCGAAATCATTTTATGTTTTGATTTAGGGCTCAAATAAACACATTGAGTGCAAGAAATCTCTTAAAGTCAATTCTCATGTTAACAAAGTCCAAATCTACTGAGTTCAAGATGAATACTTATTTTGTCAAAACACCAAAACTTTCACGAGGAATGATCAATGTTGAACTGTAGTAAAAGCTGAGGGATCTAACTTTTTCCACACAAAAAAATACTTTTTTTGTGGAATATTGTGAACAAACCAGACCATAACAGCTTCCGTAATCCTTTTAGGAAACAGTGTATGTGTAAGAAAGAGCCCTGTGAGTGGCTGTTTGGGCTGAGAGCTGATTGGCTGAGAGCTGATTGGCTGAGAGCTGATTGGCTGAGAGTTGATTGGCTGAGAGCTGATTGGCTGAGAGCCGTCCTATATTTGTCACTTTTCTGTCTGAAAAAGCTGATCTAAAGAGGTGACAGAGGTTAAAAAAAATAACTCATTAGATTTATTTTTTTGTGTTTTCAAAGTTGTTCTGGAATGCATTTTATAATTATTATCTAAGTTCACCTTTCATTATTTTAAAAACGTTACGCTTGTAGACAGAAATCAATGACATAAAGATGAGCCAGCACGATCCAGTCCCAGTGTCTGCTAACTCGATGGTCCATGCAAAAGGAAACGAGGCCCTCTAGTGGCCTGGGCGTAATTACAAATGAAAACAAGGTCATTTTCCTGTTAGAATTCATTCATTTTAACTTTTGTGTTTTCACAGATGACAGATTTCCAGAATATGGGAAGGTTGAGTTTGTGTTCTCGTACGCACCAGAAAAGATTAAAGGTAAACTCATTATTTAAATATACACACACAAATACAAACACACACATGTACCTGCCATAGACCTGCAGTACCTACACGCACACACACACAAATAATTGCACACACACACACAGACAAACACACGCACACATTTACATGCATACAAATACACACATAAACACATATACATGCAAATACATTATCCAGACAAACATACACATGAACACACACACACTCAGAAACACGCAAAGACAGACATATTCACAAGCAAACACACACATACAGTACATGCAAATACACACACACACACACACTCAGAAACACTTATACGCGAAGACAGACACATTCACAAGCAAACACACGCACACGTGAAGACATACACACACATTCGCACCTGCTACACACACACACACACACACACACAATATCTCAACTTGAATTGTGCCCTTTCTTGATAACGATGACAAATACAGTCTCTGGTTAACCACATCTTTCATGTTGAAGATTTCTATTTTTGAGTTTTGAGCAAGTGTGATATATCTCCATACTAACCAACATTTTGTATACATTTTTGAATATTGTCACCACTTTAAAAAATTAGACCATTATTGACTTTATCATTTCCACCGTGGGTTTGTTATGCTGGGATATCAGATGGTTTGTGTTTCCAGTGTTGACATGTTTTCTGTTTCCTCCGTTGGGTCCAGGGTTGGGCCACCTGGAGAACGGGCCCAGTGTGTCCGTGGACTACAGCACCCAGGACCCTCTGATCCGCTGGGACTCGTACGACAACTTCAACGCCCGCTGCGAGGACTCTGTGGAGGGGGTTCCTGGTGAGTACTGCCTCTGGATTACGGACAAGTTTCAAAATACATTTCTATCATTTTTTTTTATACATTCAAAATACATGCATTTTTGGGATTCCTTTTCACTCTTGTCAAAGGTGGAAATGAAGTTGGAAGAATTAAGTCCTGAATTAAGTTAATTGGTTGTTTTCGTTATAAAATTACCTTTAAAATGAGATATGAGATGTCACAGTAGTCCATTATATCGAAGCTGAAAGTTTAATTATCAGGTGACACTATCGATATTTACCTTTAATATAATGATAAAATGCTAATTGTTACAAACGCGTTCATATTCCAGCTCCTCTCACAGCCTGTCAATTAGTCCTTTAAATAGTGTCTGCAGAAATAGGTGGGCGTCAGTCGCCTGCTGCTGCCCCCCTGAGCCTGAAACACGAGCCCACAGAGACGCAGGCTCCCAGGGGTACGGCCCCCACTCTGACTTCAGGAAGTTAAAGGGGACGTAACATGCTCCGTGAACTGTTCTCTGCTCTGGCTCATGCTTTAGTCCAGGGGTGGGCAATGATTTTGTCTTTGGAATATCGGTACATTGCGGAGAGCCGGACTCGTTTTCATGTTACCATTTGATTTAAATTAGAACAATGTATTTGAGTGTAAGCTTCTTGTGATAAAATGTAACAAAAATGAGTGTATTTGATAAACACAAATATTTAATACAAAAGAAAAGGAGAGGGACACCTTAATAAGTCCAATGTAATCTTTGTGTTTAGTGTGTTCACTGGTCTTTTGCTTCTGCAGCTATATTTTTCTTTTAATCTTTTACAATTTGCAGTGCACTTTGAGGATTTTTAAAATGTTTTTAGATATAGATCATATGTTTTAGTAGTCTTTAGATTTAAATTCTTGCTTGCATTGAACCAAAGCTGCGCTAAAGTTAAAGAAGGCAAAAGACGGGTCGCGGCGTGACACATTGCCTCTATGAGTCGTGTGTGTGTGTGTGTGTGTGTGTGAGGGGCTGGTGGTGGTCGGAGGGGCCGATGGCATATATTGGTTGTCTCACTTCAGTCAGTGTGCCCCAGGGCAGCTGTGGCAACAGTAGTAGATTATCACCACTGTGTATAGAGTGAAGGAATAACAACATGTGAAGCATTGAGTGTCAAACCCCACATGCTATCATCATGCTAAAGTTGAAGATTTTAGACTTCTTTCCTTGTTGTGCTAAAGAGAGAGATTTTATACTACGTCTTTTTATGCTGCGTTAGATATTTTATTTGGTCATTATTTTTCATTTTTGTCTGTAACTCGTCATGCAACACCCACATTTCCCCACTGTGGGACGGATAAAAGATCTCTTAAATCTTTATATTTCAATTTCTTCTTGTGAAGCTGCTCAACATGAAACTTTCCCAACATAAAATATCTTAAGTTCTTGATAAGGGTACATACAATAGTTTCTACCGCATACTTCAACTACTTCAACTTCTACTTCCGTCCACCCCCCGCTCCTACTATCTGTTGACTCAGTCTGCACTGCTGCCTCTGCTCTACATGTTCTGTATGTATAGGCCTTTTTACAGCTTCAATTCATGTTTATGGACTTCCCCTGAGAGACGTTTGTGGTAATTGCAGTGTTGCATTCAGGTCAGTGGGAATCGCCAGTGCTGCAGCTTTAGGCCTGATTGAATGGGGCGGCAGCATTTCTCCGTACTCAGCAAAAATAAGGAAAAAAGAGAGGGGGGAAATAGCAGCAGTTTATTCATTTGGGTAATTACAACGTTCACTCACTCGGACGGAAGGTTGTAGAAAGAGGAGAGAAAGAAACTGCTAACGACCGAGCTTTTCAATAACGGTGGAACGGAGCTACGAGAAGCCGATATCGGTGGATTTTGTTAATGGGAATCAATTCAGTGCAGGTGGCAGTGAGAAAGAGGTCGGACAATTTGGACATCCAAGTCTCATTAATATCGCATCACAATGAGGAAGTGGGCAGTGTATTTACATGATTATTTAAAGAGGCTTAAAGAAAATGGACTTACTATATAGGGATATAGCTGCTTTGAATGGATCAGAAAGATTTAGTCGATGGCTTCCTTGTTTGAAATTGAACGATTTGGGTTTTGCTGAGGGTAACGGGCGATTTATTAACTGATTTTAGAGCTGATACATTTGTTTTTGTTTTTTTTAGGCTGAAAATAAACATGGGGTAGGGGCTAATGCTATTACAGTAGTTAGCAAAAAGATGTTCAAGGTAATTTCATAATACTTTCATGGATGGGAATAGGGTTGTTTTAACTTAAGCGGGAACCTGTGTTATATTCTTGGAAGTTTTGTTTACAGCTACTTTTTTTGCAATAAAAAATCCTAAATTAAAACTCCTGAGGTCTCGAAACAGCTTTTAATTTGTCCTGCAGTGGGGCATTTTCAGTGCTGCATTACTGGTTGCATTAGAGTAGGAATGAGGAGCACAGATACAAAACTCTCAAATCTCTTTTTAGTCTAATATCTTGAACTTTAGCATAAATAAACAAGCTAGAATTAAGTATGAAATCTCTGACTTTAGCATAATAACGAAGAGATATGGAAGATTAATTGATGTTTTTTGTCTTTGCATTAACAAGAGGATGATGATGATGAGGGTGGTAAAAATCAGATATGTCATGTGAAGATTTGAGTTTGCCTTTTGAGCTTTGTTTCTTGAATTATATATTTACCTGTAAAAATTAAAATTAAAATAGAAAGAGGGTCTGGGACAAAGGGACTGAGTAAAGTAACGGTGACACATGTGGACTACTGTAAGTGCCCCCCACGTGTGTCCACCCACATTTACCCAGGTGACCTCACACAACTGGACATGACAAACATCTGCCATAATCCCCCTGACCGTGCCACGCTATTTTTATCCCCCCCTTCGCTGATCACTCTGCGGCTGTCTCCGGCACAATCCAGACTTGTTTATTTGAGCGGGCGCTAAAGCCAGTCTCTCGTCCTCTACAGCTGCGCCCGGACTCACCTCTCACTGCCTCTGGTCGAGCGGGGAGTCAGGCTGAAAGAGAGGACTGAAAGTTGGGGAGGCTTAGAATGTGCTCTCTGGCTTTGAAGTGACACAATGGAAAGACAGTTTTTGTGCCTTTTACTCTTAAAAAAATGTCTTTCCATCGTGGGGTTTTAGACTCTGTGTTGTGCGTTGTAACTGAATAACACACAGCTCCTCGTTGTTTAATCTTATACCATGGTCCTGTGAAAGCGCAGTGAAACAAATGTTTATTGTAGGGCTGTCAAAATAATCGCGTTTACGCACGTAATTTTAATTTTTTTTTCCATTAATCATGTTTAAATAAATCGACGCATTTGACGCATGTCCGAATGACCCGCCCATGCATCCCATAATAACACTCTGCGGACTCATGCGTGTGTAAGATGGAGACAGAGCAGGTAGGCCCTCTGAGAATTCAAGTCTAAAAAGAATATGTGCGTGACCGCGGGGCATTTGCTGTTGTTTGCTTTATGTTCTGGAACGGGAGTCCGCATCCTCCGTAGTCGTGCATTCCGACCCGGGGCAGCTGCGGCCGCTCTGGACAGAGGTTCCAGCGGCTGTGAGCTGTTTTTACAACAACCAACACCATACAACCATACACCATATATGCACAGAACTATTTTCTGCTTGTTGTGTGCATGTCTTTGCAGAACCTGTGCACGCAATAAATACACCGCTGAAGCTGGACCATGGAGCCTCAGGAAGTCCTCCGCAACTAAACTCGCTAAATTAAAGCTGGGGTACCTAATTTTCCCTTGCACAACCAGTTCATGTTAGTTGTGCCCAAAAGTAAAATGTCAAGAGCAAATCAAACAGGTTTGATGACATTCTGCCTCAGACGGTTTTGAAATGTCCCTCATTCCTGAAACAAACAATAGTTTTGGTCTGACAGAAAGACAGATGTTAATAATGTTAATGCCATTTTACACTAGAGGGTGGCACGTGGCTGAGTGGATAGCACTCTTGCCTCTCAGCAAGCAGGTTATGGGTTCGAATCCCGGTCGCAAGGTTTCCCCTACCACCAAAAATATGCTCACTAGGTTAAATCCTCCAGCTGTGGTAGGCTGTCCAAGCCGAGCATCAACATCTGTTGTTACTACGGCGACCACTGCTCCTTAAGCCTTAGGCATCAGGATGGGTCAAATGCAAAGGATGAATTGCTCTACGGGGATTAATAAAGTGCACCTTTACCTTTACTATGTTGTCATTGATCTTTCCATTCAAACAACCCTTTACAGAAAAATATGGCATAATTTAGCTGATAGTTGGAAATACAATTAATTAATTTTTAAGCTAAATTAAAATGTGTAAATGTGTTAACATTTCCTCAAAACAAATAGGTATTGTTGCTTTTGCCGTTCCTCTGGGTTTTCCTCTTCTTCCCATTCCTCAAAGGTTTTGTTATGTCTAAAAATGTTACAATTCACCTCAAAATCCATGTTATCCAGCGCTATCAGTCGCTATGGCGTGTCACCAAATCGACAGTTTATTTGATCCAGCTGTTACAGTTACTATGGCAACAACTGTGGCAGAGCGATATAGAGCATGATTTTAAACATACTGGACATACGTTTTTAACCGAAAAAAGAATAGAAACAATGGACAAATAAGAAGGCGAACCGGACCCTGACGCGCAATGAGACAAAGCCGCCTTATTTCAAACTGTTGAATATTTTATCTCATTCCAAGGGAGACATTTATTGTATCTTTTTGATTTGTATGCTGGTCCCATTGGCAAATCTTGTTTTTGTTTTAAGATACATTTTTGCTGAATTTGATCCATTTCTGACTTATTTTTCATTACATTTGGCAGTGTAAATGTCCAATCAAACTGAGAAAACACAACAATTCTAGATCAAATGGTCTAAATACCAGCCTCCAAATGGCCACATAGTGTAGCTCAGACCCCACCTGCATGTTAAGCAGTTCTTGGACATTTCTTCGCAGCAGACCCATGTGTCAGTGGAATGTGAATGTGCACCTTGTGTCTGTC